TATATAGTGAAGAAGTCAGTATATAATGACTTCTCCACCACTGTTTGCAATCTAGCAATTCTTTAAAGCCAACACTTTTAAACTTCATGTATGAGCACCTATATGTTGGGACGAGTATAGTGGATGAACAAGCGCATTCAAGAGTGATGTGTGCATTTTTATCATTAGTGGTTTTCTGTGATTTTATATTATTTTAATGAATTTGTTTTGCATTATATATGATTAAATTGTGCATATGACTTTTCAGAGTATTTGAGAGGCTTTATACTTATAAGCACATGTGACCCTCTCATATAGTGAGGGGTCCATATTTGAGGGTGGATGTGGACCCTAAAGGGGTGGTGGATTACATATGGAGGTGGAGGAAATACAATAATGTGTGGAGTTGTTTCACTCAAATTAGTTTCATCTAGTCACAAAAAAGTGCTATTATTGATATCAGTATTTGTACTTGAATATTTTTTCGTTACTGGGAGAGATGTGATGTTGCACTTTTCATATGCACTTATAGGTTACAGTAATGCAATTCTTCTATGACACATAGCTGAAGGTCATTACTGAGAAAAAAATCATGAGAATGGAGACATCCCTTTTTGGGAGAAAATGGTTTACTCCGAGAAAGCTACACAATCAATAAACCAGAAATATATCATTCTGACCGCATATAACCTACATGACAAAAGGTACCAACTTGGGGAAGAATTTGCTTTATGCTTCTTAACAGAAATTTTTCCTCTCAGTTATTGATATTCAGGTACCAATGAGCTATTTTTGCAAGAGAACAAAATTGAAATCGCCAAAGGCCATAGGTCTGAAATTATTTTACTTTTTATGGCCCATTGTTTAGAATCACTCTGATTCTAAATACCCTTAATTCAGGGAGAACAATTCAGACCTTAAACGTCTTTTCAAATTGCTGTACTTTGGTGTAATTAAATAGATGGCAGCATATACTACAACACATATACAGTATTTCCTGATTTAAATCTTGTAAAATCAAGAAACGTTTTACCCATGTAGTCTATGTTTTGTTTGCTGGCTCTACATATTCTTCTGTAATGTGTTCTTGACCTCTCCATTTACAAAGAACAAATCTCACTGTGACCTCAACAGGAGTCATTGGGTGACGAATGACATTGTACTTGTTGAACTCACCAGGTGCCTCACACAGTAGAATATGTTATGTTTTATATAATTCAAAGAATCAGTTTAAAAATGTATGTAACATATGAGCTTGTATTATCTGACTTATCAAAATGTTTTAAGAGATTCAAATGCATTAAGGAATACTGATTGTCTATTGATGTTATATATACAATAGTTCAATATTTGATGGTTACAATGCACCCAGTACTAAGTGATAGCTAGAATGTCATAGTAAAGACATAAGCAGTGTGCATGTGTAAATAGTGTGAAAGATAACTTATCAAGAAGCATTATTTTAAGAATTGCCATGTCAGCACTATCTACCTAGACAGAAGGTACATTGACAAGTGGGTAATCTGTCACTTGTATGCACTAAATACAAGGCCTTTAAAAAAATCGAGGTTACTGCTACATCAGGGGTGCCCACAATTTTTGTGTTAAGATCTTTTTTTCAAATGACGAGCTACATGAGATCTACTAACAAAAAAACACCCTCGCTCTCTCTCTCCTTTCTGTCTCTCCTTGCTCTCTCTCCTGGCTGTCTTTCCTCTCTCTCTCGGCTGCCATTCCTCGTCTTTTCTCCTGGCTGGCTCTCTTGGATGTCTCTCCTCTCTCTCTTTCCTGGATGTTTCTCCTCGGTCTCTCTCCCCTGGCTGTCTCTCCCGCTCTCTCTCCTGGCTCACCTTGCTGTATTTTGCAACAGGCTGTGTAAACGAATATTCTTTGATGTAATACATAGTACTTCAACCACCAGTACCCACCAGAAAGGTGTCAGGGAGCTTTGCTCAGCAGACTCACAGCACAGCTAAATAAATATACCAAAATGGAATAAAGGGGCCACCACTCACACCCTTCATGATCTACCAGCATCAGCTTTGAGAGCTACTGGTAGATCACGATCTACCTAATGGGCACCCCTGTGCTACATACTGTATATTACAAAACATAACTGCTCTTTTATCCCTATGTAATAACTTCTGTTCCAATTAATTTCCAAAAAAGCATACCTTACAAATACTTAGGGGTTGATTTACTAAAGGCAAATAGGTTGTTCACTTTGCAAGGGAATTTTCACATAGCTCAGTGAATGGGGTGGAAATTTACTTTACAAAGAGTACCCAATCATGTACAAGAAACACAAAACAAATAAGTGTTTTGCCAGCCATGATGATGGTTGAATATGTCCACCTCATTTACTAAGCTAAGGTCAAATTCCTTGGAATGGGAACAGCTTATTTGCCATAAAAGTAACTCCTAAGTGTCTACCTAGTTGTGTGCTCAATCTGTGTATTTTCATGAAGGTATTGCAATGAATATTGCTGTGCATGTAACCCATAGTATCCTGTCACCTGCAACTTAAATCTAACTGGATGCTATGTGCTACTGCACTCGGTGGACCATAATTAATCTCTGTACTGTTTTAATGAACAAACAAGTTTCCATTTTAGTGTAACCTAAGTTTGGCAATGCTACCAATTCAATTTGATAAATGCAGAGGTACTTGAAATCCCTTTCACCTCTATTTTATGCAGTAATGTTTTGCATGTGCATTTTAAATGCATGTGCACCAGGGAAAGTCCCTTTTCTGAATATTTCTCTTACCTTATATAATGCATAAAATATGCATGCACACACATCCTAACCATGCGTTTATTCATATAATATACATTCTGCAAAGCATCAGAGAAACATTTATAACAGTCATTTTCCATGGCGCACCTGAAGTTAAAATGCACAAACCTGCATGATATGTATGTTTTCAAACATTCAATATTTATTGCAATGAGACTAATTAATGCATGTAAGCACAGAATAAATGCTAAATAACCTACTTTGTTTTAAAAAAACTGCATCAAGCTCCAACACTTTGCTATGAAGTAGCCACAAAGCAATGTATGGTATTTCTACTTGAAGTGCACCTCAATGGAGTATGCACTTACATACTTATATGCATTTTACTGCAAGAAAGGGGACAAGTGCAAACTGGTACATAGTGAAAGTTTTAGATCACTGTAAGAGAGATGTTGGAAAATCTCTTTGTGATCAATCAATGCCTTAATTTTCGGTTAAAACAACAAAGAAAAAATAGTGTACTGCTTGTGAGTCACTAACAGCCATAGGTCTAATCAGAAGATCACAGTCGGTCCCAATGACAAGTTACTCCGGGTAAGACAACTGCCTTTCCATGGCCATTCTATACTATTCATGAGTAAGGCTGCACTCCTCTATAAACACATCAATCAGCTTTTCCTATACTACTGAATATACTGGGTAAAAAAGATAAGTGATAGACCAATTCACAATTGCTGCAACAAATATTGGGCATGTTGTCAAATTGGTTAAACATGCCAATCAATACATTCACAGTAAAAATCAAAGCAAATAGATTGAAAGAGGTATATAATAAACTGAAAAAATAAAATAAATTTAATAAAACATAAGTTGATACCTTGACACTCATAAGCCGAACCCCGGCTTTGGAAAAGCCCTGGTAACGATGGGCTGCTGCATTGAGAACCCCTGCCTTGGCTGTTTTAAACACAGACAAAATCCGAGTCATCTTTGGGGCCCTGAGGAGCTGTTTAGCTCTTTCTGATCAAGAGGTGATATGAGATTATTCTCCCTCAGAGCCGCTGGTAAGAAAGAGACTGCAGCCCAAGTTACATTTACTAATATTAGCCCCTATGTGGGCATTAAATAAATTTAAGCCAAACTCCGCCTTGCCTTTATCACCACCCTCTTTTACGCTGAGGTTATACCTCAATATTATACGTGACTGTGTGACTTGGTTGCAACACAGATTAAACATTATCTTTTGGAGTGATGTTCAAACAGACAACTTAATAGGACCTCTGGTTTTCTTTCATCAGTAAAGCTATACTGGCCTATGGCAGTTAATCAATAGTACAGGATGAAAAAAAAACCTATTGCACTGTCCGGCAACAGCCTTTTGAACATACACATGAAATAAATTAAGGAGTTCCTTCCTTGTTTCGATAGTGTACATGCATCAAAGAACACAGAAAATATTTAAACCCAAATAAACATTACAAAAGTGATTATTAAATGTTCCAAGTTATATTTTGCAAAATGCATAAAGTTATTTGTGACTTACATGGATTTTCAATTTAGAAAAATCAATCAACACTTTGAAAACCCCTGTACAATGTTAGAGTACGAGGCATGAGGCATATTTGCATTCTATAAAGTGTGTGAGCAATTACTATATTAACATTTAAAACAAGAGGACTAGTAGTCATGGATGGTGCTTGCTATCTTCTGCTTTACTGTACATTTCCACCCTCAATGCACGTCTAGTAGCATCAGCTGGGTTATACTGATGTTCTTAATAAAGATATAAGTTTCCAAGCTAAATGGTGAAACTGTCTGATATATTACTGGTTATCCATATATGTTTAGAGTTAGTATGGCATGCTGCAGGATTATCCAGTGGACCCTGAGTATGGCCCACAAATGAAGTAACCTAGTACAGGTCAGTCATTAATGACTATATCCATATTTCCTATCTGTCATGCAGCCTGTCATTTCTGTCAATATCATGCCTTAATCTCTGCACTGATCATTCCCCAGAAACCCCAGACCTGTCATTTTGTCAATTTTCACTGTGTACAGCAACTTAGAAAGTCACAAAACAATCAAAGGCTGCCACCAGGCTGTGGCCCACCAACCTTTGCCTGTGCACTGTGTTTCTAGGCAGCAAAGCTTGTGACATAAAAATTAGGGACCAACATAAAACCACCTGACCTCCACAGGAACTGAAGGAGACCACATTGCTGAGCTGGCTGGCTGTGTGAGCTACACAGTCAGGAACAAAAAAACACACACGTGTGGCAGTAGTAAGTAAGTGAACCAGGAAAGCCTAAGGTGATCTCAAAAACTGACTACAAAAGAATGGACAAACTATATCCTGGGGCAGAGTAAGAATAGTATTATTTATTTGGGGGTCAGCCACTCACTTCGGGATTAGTAATGCTGGATTTTGTGGAATTTATGTGGCCGTCTTTTTTAGTTAGTATAACAAAAAAAAGCCTAAAAAAGCAAGTGAACTGGAAAAGTCTAAAAGAATCTCAGTAACTGACTGACAATTGAAAAACTATCCTGGGATATAGCACGTGAGAACTATCTTATTTAATGCTATAGGATTTTGTTTGACCATAACTTGCAGTCTGCTGCATTCACAAAACTATATAAAGTATATAAAGTACTTCTTACTCTTGCATGCACTCAAGTGTCTATAAAATATTTTTTTCAAAGTAGAAAATTTTAAAAATACAGAAGAAGATCTAAGATTGGACGTGATCTTCTAGAATTCCTTATTTTGCTGTACACTTTCAACATGGCAAGTAGGTAGTGCTTTGCACCTTTGCAACCTTTGGTATGGGAGCTGCTTGTGACCCATCCATTGTGAGTAACTCTGCCACGGCAAATCAAACGTACACCTAAGTACAGCTCTCATGTACCTCGATGGGAGCCTGAGATGGCAAGGCCAGCCTCTCTTGCCGCTCTAGTCTGGGCACCCCCTGATAGTGAGACAGAGGGTGCAAGGATGAAAGAGTGGCATGAGTGCTGGCTGACTGCTGCTGTCAGCGTAACTGGCACCTGGATGCTGAGCGAAGCAGGGAATGCCAATCACTAGGGAGCGATGTCGGCAGTGGTCAGCACAGCACCAGTACATCAGACAGAGTCTGGAACAGGCCAGGTCAATAGCTTGCATGGGCACGACACAGAATCAATGCTGAATTGTTGTTAACTTAAAGTGTATGTAAACCCTAACAATGAACAGCAATTTGCTCAATTTTGGTCTGTTAAATATACCATTGAAAGCACTTTGTTATATCTGTTGGATAAGTGCAAAAAAAACCTGTTGACTGTTCCAGAAATCCAGCAAGCCTCTAACTTCCTGTGCACTGTGCCATGTTATTTTAAACAGTGTTATCAACCCGGCCCTATGTCATGGAGATAAGGAGAGGAGGAGGTGTTCTGAAGTCCTAACACACTTCCTGTTCTACAACACTGCTTCTCCTTAATGTACAGTCAGTGTAACCGTTGTCACCCTAGGACTAGAGGCATGTTACTGGTAGAATGGCTAGGGAAAAAAAGCTAATGCTATCATTACAACTAAGGACATAAAAGCTGTAATATATAAAATTTTTGTTCTTAGATTTAGATACACTTCAAGCTCTTTCTAGGTGCTCTTTGCCACCTTCCATCCAGTTCTTGCCATGTCCTAGTACTCACTGACCCATTCATTTGAGGCACATGTGGTCTGACGTCCCTGGTGCTAGCTTCATCACAACTTGGACACTATTGAGAGCTGTCACCTTCACAACTTGTGACATTGCCAGCTGTTGTTATGCCATAGCACTGAATTTTAATATCATCCTAAGTTGGTCCTTGTTCCACTAGAGATGGGTGTTGGTGAGAACGAAACAAAAAAAAATAAGCCCTGAAAAGCAAACATCATCAGCCAACATTTGTCCACAAATATTTTTAGGCCAGTATGACATGAATGGGTGCCTTATATAAGCCTGAAAACTATTGTTAATCAAGTATGGAATATCTGTACAATGCCCAGAACTTGTTTAATATAAAGAGTACTTGTTGAAGCTAAGATACCCAGTAGAGAACCTAAACACCCAAAGACCAACTTAGCCCGGAAAGCTTTTTTGGCGCCTGCCTGATTTGCTAGATGGCCAGTCCACACATGGGTGATGATAAGTAGTGAAGGGGTAGCTGGCACCAGGCTCCCAACATGGCTTCTCTGATTGGTGTTTTGCACTAGTTAAGATTACAGAATGTTAAAAGCGTGGTAAAGTGTGAAATTGTCCGCTGTCATTTAGCTATTCTACAACACAGTGCTGGTGAAGAGGGTAGCACCACAATGTTAAACATAAAGAATTAGTACTTCCTTATTTATCAATTATATCTGCCATAAAATAATTATCTCTACTTGACAGATGGATAATGTGCACATTTTAAGAGCTTTGTTTCACTAAAAACACATGACCTGATCCGATGATCAAAATGCAATGTATACAAAGGCATTCAAGGGTACAGACAGTTTGCAGTCACTTTTAAATCAATATTTTTCGCCATGTTAAGGGTGAGATAGGGATAAACTTATATCACGTGTGTACATGTGAGACAGAGTTGTTTAACCAATCAACTTTAAATGCATATATTTGAACAGTATGTTTTGTATACATGTCTGTTATTCTCTCTTTTCCCCTATAATGTGTATGCAGAGCCCTGACACGTACATTTTGTACCCTCTATAATTCTGACTTTCTACTGGCAGGGATGGTGGGTGTGTAGCGAATGGGGCAGGAGGGAAGGGTTTCGATTTGGAGGCGATCCATAGTAAAGCTTCATAAAAGGGATTATAAGTGAGTGAGGAATTTGGAAATAAGCACATTTTGCAATCTAGTTTGAGATTGCAGATCACAAGGCTCATCACCTCACATGACAGCTATGGAAAAATTTAACCTGAAAAACAAATTGCAGAATTTTAGTTCTCTCCAGATACATTATTAGGTTGCAGTTGAATAATGTAATATACTGTACTGGCATAACTTTTTTCAGGCTTGTATAAGTGACTGTGTATAGTGACTATCAGCCTACAATGTGTAGAGGAACCATAAACGTGGCCCTTGACAGCTTCAAAGGGACGCATGTAATATTTAGTATGCAAGATAAGACTGTCAAAAGACTGTCAGATACTTTAGAGATACTATAGGAGACTATCAGAGACTGCAGGCATGAAACAGGGGTGCTTGGAGACTTACAGACCAATTCTGGGCAAACGAAAAAGTACCCTTGCAGTGGGGCTAACCCAAACTGCAAGGGTGTACTGTTCATTTTTGCCTAGGGGCTGGAGTAAAGCAGTTTTACTTACCTAAACCCCACTCCCCTGACAGTCTGTACTCTCCTCTTCTCCCCCTCAGCTCCAGCAGGTGGAAAGGAATGTCCCTCAGCGATCTCACATCTAAGGAACCTACATTAGATGTGATGACATAAGAGGTCCTTAGACCACCAGAGCCCCAGTGGGAAGAAGCTGCGGGCACTAGTCTAGCAGCTCGGAGGAGCCAGGATCATGTAAGTACATCTGTTTTACTCCAGCCCCTAGACATAAACATGCACTTAATCCTTGCAGTGCAGGGGTAGCCCCACTGCAAGGGTACTTTTTTGTTTGCCTGGATATGGGCTTTAAAACACATTACAGGAGATGGTGGGCATGCTAGAGACTACTAGACATGTGCAATTCGTTTTGTTGCGATTCAAAATTTATGGAAATTTTCTCGGAATTCGGACACATCCGAATTTCCAAATCCCAATGCATCTGAATGCATCTGAGTCCGTTTCCAAATTTCGGATCCCATCCGAATTTCATTTTACAGCAAAAGTGAATCGGACATGACTTTTCTGGCCAATCAGATGTGTTTTCCAGTTTAATGCATCCGAATGGGTCTGAATCCGAATTTTCTAATAGCATTCGGGAGCTCCCGAATGCCATTCGGGTCTGGGAGCCTCAGGTTTAGTTTTCATGTATATATGAGGCACAATGTTGCCGCTATGAATATTTGTTCGTATTATAGGAAATTATATATACATAATACTAAAACTGATGGTCCAAGACCCGAATGGAGTCCGAATTTCCGAATAGCATTCGAGAGCTCCCGAATGCTATTCGGGTCTGGAAGCCTCAGCTTAAATATATGACTCCCAGGCCTGTATTGCTGCCTGGAGCTCTCGAATGGTATTCAGAAATTTGAATCCTGAATGCCATTCGGGTCTAGGAGCTTCAGCTTTAGTATTAATATCTGTATATGGTTTTCTGTGGAATTCGCAACGAATATTCGTAAACTCATCCGAAACTAACAAAAATTCTGATTTCGTCCGAATCCAAAACCCGAACTGAATTGAATTTCGTATCCGAATCCCGAAATATCCGAACCGAACCAAACTGAACCCAATTTTTCCACAGCGTACATGACTACTAGAGGCTTCTGAACTACAACTCAACTTTTGTACAATGTAACATTATCATTACTTGCTAGAATCAATGCATGATGGAATACAAAGTCTTGAGTAATTGAGATTGCATCACACCAAGTAGCAGGGAAAGAGATGCAAAGCACACTGGAGTTCTTGGAATTGTTGAAAGTGTTGGGCAGAGGAAGGCAAGACTCAGTGCCTAAAAGGGATTTTGTTGAAGTAATCTTTGATTGCATAATAAAAAAAATATAGCATGTATTCCTATTACAATGCTGATATTATAACAGGATAGTATATGCTCCTTTAAAACTCCTTTAAACACTAAAGTCTGCTCCTGAACATATGGAACAGCATCAGTCCCTGTGGAATGAAAGCAAAATACAGAATTGGGGTAAGAAATAAAATAAGATGTTTGTGAAGCATTTCGTGCAGCAATAGGAGCTGCAGAACTAACTCATGTAGCAATAATTTTACTCTATGAACAAAGCATGAAAGTGATTACTCTGAACATATCACAAATGAATGTGACTACATAGTATTGATTTTCAGGGACATTTTACTACAAACTCTTTATCATAGAGGTAATAGAAAAGACATGGAAACCTCCTATTTTAATTTGGATGTAGTAACGCTCAGCCGTGACCTTCATATAAGATGGCAGTCCCTGGAATGTGTTTGACACTGCCATCGTGAAATGGTTTCCTAATAGCTGCCAAGTGTAATGGGCGATCACGACTATAGCTTGTTTGCTGGTCAATAACAGGTGCTCCATGGCATCAAATGTTCCCGTGCATAGTATAACTTGTGCAGGTGTATTTAGAACATAGGATGTAATTATACTTGACCAGGCAGAGAAGGGCAACCTCAGCACTCCAGCCGTGGAGTGCTGAGCGTTACTACATCCAAATTAAAATAGGAGGTTTCCATGTCTTTAACATAACATAACTTATACTCTAGCAGTCATGCCTGTGGTTGAGTCTTGCAATGCCTCGTGAGACTTGTAGTTCTACAACAGCGGGAGTGCTGAGGTTCCCCCGAGTTAGGGTCATCATGCTTGAGGTGCCTTCCAGACTGAGTGTCAGCTAGAACTATAAATAACACATTGACTGAAGTCTGCTACTGAACATATTGAACTAAATGAAATGGAGTGTGGGAAACAAGACATGAAATAAAGGACAGACACAACAACAGGTTTGTGGAGTAATGTAGGTCCTGCAGAGTCAACTCACGGACAAATAATTTTACTCTTTGCTGTAAAAAAAATGCCTGAAATGTACTTTTCTGACTTTATTAAAAAACAATGTGACTAAATAGTATTGATTCTCAGGGACAGCCTGATAATGATAGTGTTATTGGAAATGACATGGAAGCCACCCATTTGGATCAACAATGCTCAGCCATGACCCTCATATCACATGACAGCAGCTGAAATTAGGTTGACACTGCCACCATGAACAACTTTCTATACAGCTGCCAACTGTATTGGGTGATTGTGAACAGATTGAAACATACATTGAGGGGGATTTACCGAAACTGGAGCAGAGGAAATCTGGAGCTGCTGTGCATGGCAACCAATCAGCTTCTATCTTTTTTTTTCAAATGTTAACTGAACAAACTGAACATAGAAGCTGATTGGTTGCCATGGCCAACTGCTCCAGATTCTGTCTGCTCCATTTTTGATAAATTCCCCCCATTATAGTTTATTTGAAGTTCACATATTATATAGTTTATACACCGATCAGCCATAACATTATGACCACTGACAGGCGAAGTGAATAACATTGATGGGATATGAGGGATATATTAGGCAGAAGTTGATGTGTTGGGAACAGAAAAAATGGCCAAGCATAAAAATTTGAGCGACTTTGACAAGGGCCAAATTGTGAGTCAGAGCAACTCCAAAACTGCAGCTTTCGTGGGATGTTCCTGGTCTGCAGTGGTCAGAACCTACCAATCGTGGTCCAAGGAAGGAAAAATGGTGAACCGGTGACAGGGTCATGGGTGGCCAAAGCTCATTCATACACATGGGGAGTGAAGCCTGGCGTGTGTAGTTTGAACCAATGATAGGGCTACTGTAGCTCAAATTGCTTAAAAAGTGAATGCCGGTTCTGATAGAAAGGTGTCTGAACACACAGTGCATTGCAGTTTGTTGTGTACGGGGCTGTGTAGCCACAAACCGATCGGGATAGCTATGCTGACCCGTGTCCACCACCAAAAGCATTTACATAGGCATGTGATCAATACAAATGGACCATGGAGCAATGGAGGAAGGTGGCCTGGTCTAATGAATCATTACATCATGGGGAAGGTCAGGTGCATGTGCTCTACCTGAGGAAGAGATGGC